CTGGCGAGGGACAAGTCGACTGGAGATGCACGTGTGTTAGTTCAGCGGTGTATTAACAGCGTCTCTGTCATCGTAATGTCATCTTAGTTGACAGTCTGCCCTCCCGACTTCATTTATGACCTGTGAGTCTCGCATTTCATGGCCAAATGTAACTCTCAATCAATAAGTTATGTATTCAGTTTCACGCACTGATTACGTGAACTTACTAATGATAACATTTATAGCTTAGAATAGTAAGACAAGAATAAATATATTAATAACAACTGAAAAAAATAAGATTTGTGATTTAGGCTAGTTGAAAGACCTACAAAGCGTTCCCCTTTTAATTATATGGGTCGAATTAATTTCATAAAAGTTACAATAAGATCATCTACATGAGGAAAACAAGGTTAGTTGTCCGTAAATCTGGGGGCAGTTCACTCGAAGGCCTCTTAGGCCTACTCTCTTTGAAGGACAAACATTGATACCACGAAATTTGCCTGGGTCACATAAACTTCCCTCTGTTGTCCACTCAAGCTTAAACTGAAACAAAACACTGGACAATCCTGTCCACAGATCACTTGGACAAGGTGATGGTTTTCTTTGTGAACAGCCAATGGTTCGATTTGTTTTTGACGTATTTTACTCTTACTTCAGTAATGCCTACCACCACCACCATAGAGAAGATGGGCTGTACATCCCAATACAGCGTTGGCAATTAACTCACTAATTAATCCGTTTTCTGGTGAAGCGTTTTTGACCCAAGCCGAACAGGTTTGGGTCTACAGTGAACGTACTTGTCTGCCAAAAGATTGTTAACCAAAACATATCACTTCCATAACATGTATATATATATAAAGATCAGGGAAGAAGATGAAAAATCACAAATAAATCATCATGTGCGCCATGTAAAGGAACAGAATTTGGCATCTCTCCCCTGTTCATTACTGACATATTTAATTAACCAAACTATTTCACGCTTACAAACAATAGGCTTAGTAAGATAAGGGAGACCGGCAGCTTTGCCAGACCACTGACAATCTAGCGAAATATCTACGGCGAAGTTCAAATGCCAGATATCAGCGCCCCTAGCGGTTCGCTGGGACATTTCCCTGGATCCCTGGATATGTTGTTTTGGGGCGTGGTGAAACGTAATAAAGTTGAGCAACTTGAAAATAATCATTTAACTTGAAAATAATCACTAAGAGGGGGGCCAAAATATATATATATATATATATATATATATATATATATATATATATATATATATATATATATATATATATATATATGCACGTCCACGATACTGTATAACAACGAGTTAGCATCTTTGAAAGTCTGTCAAAATGTTATTATGTATTGGATTAAATGGGGGTGCCTTCATGTGAAAGGGGGTGGATCTGTCTTATTATAAAAAACAATTTTGTGTTTCCAAACACTGCTGTGTATTCTAAACTTATTCATTCTTAATCGAAAATGACACTCAAACAGCGCTTAAATCTGGGACACAGACCTATCAGTATGTTTTGCATCTGTACATCATGGAAAAGAAAGCTCTCAGAATAATATTGTCATTTTTTTGGTTACCTCAGGGATCATTTGAGGCATACACACTAGAGAAATACAAAAACTGTTCTTCGTCGAAAATTATTGAATTGTTTTCTAAATTTGGGTTATTGATATAGAGGAAATGTAAATTTTATACGTTATTGTAATTGCCAAAAATATGTAAAACATATGATTGATAAAAGCAAGCTTGTCGGACTTCAACGAGCCCAAATGTCTTGAGGCCGAATGTAACGCAACCGGGTTCTGTTCCTTGGTAAATCTACTGAAAAAAATGATTATGTGACATAGTGCCCTTCACCATTCTTGTTTAGCTCTCAATGCATGTCTCTGCAATGCCTTTTGGATTTCGTTCACAAATTCAAAAAGGACAATGAAAACATCAACTTCAAAAGATTCGATTTTGTAGTTTCTCCAAATCTAGTTGACATTGTCAACAGGGTACAACGCATTTGGAGTAATCTCCTCTGTCACAATTGCAATGTTTGAACGCAACACAAAAGTTCCAACACTGGTATGAGCGTTTTAGTCTGAAGATTAACCCTGAATGGCACTCTTTTCTTAAGTCTCTAAATTATACAAAAAAAGTGTTGGGGGAACAAATGAAAAAAATAACACTCTTGAAAAATTATAATTTGTGCAATACTATCATTTGCATAAAAATTGTTTTAATCGTTTTTATATATGACGCATCTAAAGCATTTTCATTAGTTGCGTTTAGATCTGGAGATCATGATAACTTATTTCACTATTCTCGAAGCTGTGACCTTGAAATACATCCTCAAACGAATGACCCTGATGCACTTTCTGATGCAATATCGTCAAATTACTATTCAAGATATTAGACGATGCCTTTTACCACAACTCAATGTTGGATAGGAAATTACAATTATCCGTGAAGCCCACTGTTTCTCGATGAGTGATGTATATTTTCAAAGGTTAACCGCTGTCATCAGAATTTAGATAACCATTTTGGGATATACAGGATTTTTTTAAAAAACTCTTCAAACACATTAAAGATTTTGCTTTATCTTCACTGATATTTAAGACGTAGAATATTTCGGTAATAATCTTTCATTTGAATTAGGATGACCGTTCTTATATAAGCGCAACACGCGTGGAGTATATTGAATTATTATTTTTCAAAACTCTCAACATTAAAGATTTTACTTTATCTCCCCTCATAAATTAAAGACGTAGAATTATTCACTAATATTATTACATTTATTAATAATGGCTGAAGAATATTTTAAAAGGACCTTTAACCACTTTCAAGAGAGTAAGATATCACTTTTGCTTATGCATGAATTGTTATACCCACTAGTTCATATGGCCACCAGGCGAATAGTAAAACAATTGTCATTAAATGGTCATGATTGTTTTAGTATGTGAAATGGCACCATTTTATTGTTATGGTTATGTCACTCTACTATCCCTTAGTAAAAATATCAGGCCTGTTGCAAATTCGCAGCAAATTTGCTGCAATATTGCTGCAAACTGCAATTCTTTCTTGCAAATTTGTGCAAAATACAAATGAGATTATTTCAAAACCATTATTTATTAATAAAGTTTAATGGTTACGATTTCATTAATAGCAAATTCAATTGAATGAAATTGAATGAAAAGTAGAAATTAACAAGTGCAAGTAAAAATGTGTTACATGTAGGAGTGAACTAGTGCGAATATTGTTATTGTATTAGACAAGAGTGGAAAATGTCAAAATTATATGAGGTTCTGGTTGATTATTTGATTTCACAACCAAAAAGTAACTTTCCAAAGCCATGTTAAAAGCCACAAGCTGGGCTTTGTGACCTTTTCAAATACAGATTTTTTTTTACATATTTAATTTTACCAGATGTGAATTAGTGCTTAAAGGGATAACTTTATGAGGAAATATCAAATTTTTATTGGCAAGGTAGAACGGAAGGTTTTTAGATCACGTACAGAACGATGGGAAAAAAAGGGATAATCACGTAATCTGTGCGGAGTGGTTAGAGTATAAATACCCTTGTATTTGCATGAAAAGAAGAGAGACAACGAATAATTGTTCGAAACTCCAACTCGGCGTTTTGTCTATAAAAATCCTATGAAGTTGCCACAGTTTGGAAAACGCATGTTCATTGTTTTATCAATTATACTCAATACATGCGTTACAATGTAAAGGGTCTGATTAGTATGTCATAGGCAGAGATTACCCAAATTAAACTTCTAGTTTACCTCTATAGAACAGCCATCAAAAATTTCTTTAATCGGTGAAATTGCAAAATATCTGATGTCAGACGTTCGTCATGTATTTACCATCTTTTGTAGTGTGGTATTTCAGATTTAATTTAACGTCTTTTACGCGAAACGCATACATGATAAGCAACTACAAAACTGGCCTTATTTGGCAAAAAGCGCATATAGTCCGTAATCCGAAAATAGTCAGAGACACAACTACACTTCTGAAAGTCGAAATTATTACGAAATTCATGCACTTCATACTTCATATACACGGCAAAATGTAGATAAAAAATGGTCCACTATTGCTGTGAGTATCTTCTTCGCAATGAAAGTCAATTGAATAACTTGAAAAACAGTAATGTTGCTGCGCCAAATCAATTGCTTTAGGATAAATATTTCCAGAATAAGGAATAACTTAGTTGTTCTAAAATACTGATTTCCTTAATTTAGCATAATTATTAATGAAAGTTATTTTAACATGAGTGTCCAAACATCCACCTCTGTATTTGTAATCGATCGGGTACATAAATTTTATTCAAATCGAAATAAGGAAAGAAATCGATTTACAGTTTGTCAAACGTTATATCCCCTCTTTTCCATTATAAAATTGCGGAGATTGAAATAAAGAATGCTGGCTATGTAATTTGAGAAACATTCTTGGCAGCTTGTCAAAGTTGGGCAAGAAAAGATTGGCAATTGATGTACATCTTATGAACAGGTATGCTGTGCGTAAAAAAAATCACCAGGATTAGTAGTTTTAAACACACCCAAACACGAATGTCGCACTGGGTTTTTTTATTTGATTGTAAGAGATGGGGTACAGTATGCGTTCACCTCCCCTCACTGAAATAACCACTTAGGTACTAGGGATTAAACAGTGGAATATTAAGTGATAAGGAAATTTTATCACACACACAAAAATAGAATTTAGTATAAACGCTTTATCTATGTACAAGCCACATTGATCTAACCAAATCATTTTTAATAATTTGGTATTAAATGACAGTGACTTACAATTGCTACAAATATTTGTCTTATAGAAAAATAGCATAAACGTTTGTTCATCATATTAAAGGATATCATCTTGTCAAGAAAAAATATTGCAGAGTTTTGACCTATACGTCAATATCTTTTCTAATCGAAGATTAACGTTCCTTTCACGCACGCACACACGCATTTCCTCACGCGTACACACACACGCGCGTGCACACACAGACACACACACACACACACACACACAAAGAGAGAGAGAAAGAGAGAGAGAGAGACTTGGAAAACACGAACCGAAAAACATCTGCAAATTGGTATCGCAGATAACATGTTCTATGCCAGTTATTTATGATTGTGAATTATCCGCACAACACAAAAAAAATCATAACGCTAAGCAATAACAATTGTTTAAATTAAAAGGCTAAAGCTATAATACATTTATAAAAATATCAAATTATTTTCAAAACAAAGAAACGAATATCGTGAAATAATGTACACTGATTGCACGTCTTCAGAGTTTCTGCTAAGCAGAGAAGAAACGGAAATCAAATTCCCTACAATGATCAGGTCGCGCTGACATTTATTTCTTGATTAGGGTTACTGCGCGTCTCATCCCAATCGTTTTGTTACTATGAGAACAAAATTTTCCAGTTTATAAATACGCATCATCCCCAAGTAAGCCTAGCCTACATATCCCAGCCATAGAGTAAAACAAGTCGATCATTCTCGTAGAACCCATGGTAATACTGCCGATGAGTGAATGTTTGTCGGGTAAGCAAGTGGAGAAGTTAACGTGGCCGCCAAGGGAGCGGGAAGCCCGGCAAACGACACAGGAGAGAAAGCCGACGTCCCGAAGTGAATTGCGTGCGAGAACTGAGCCACGGCACTTGGTTTGGGTGGTATTGGCCCCAGCCACGGAAAGTTGATGATATTGGTGGACGTTGAGGCTGAACCGTTGGTACTGCGCTGAGATGCCACGGAAGGGGGCGGGGACACTGTGTTCCCGTTAGTTTGATCCCTATCTCGCCTCTCCCGCGCACGGCGGTTTTGAAACCAGATTTTGACCTGAAAAGTATAATATTCAATATGTTTATACAAATCTGATTCCACGATATTAAATGTAACGAGAGAAAGAGACTGTTTGACTCGATTCATCGTTCCAATATTTAGTTTCTATCAATGTATTAATGCAAGACAACAAAAAAGATTCTCGTGCCACTTGCATTTTAGTATAATATTGTACCTTTCGTTTTGTTTTGAATTTAGCATCACCAATATTTTTGTGTCATAATGCGCCGATTTGAAAATGAATACCCATTATCCATCAGTGGGGTTTTTTTTTTCACTCTTTGCAGAATCTACCATTACTGAGTATAAATATTACACAATGACACTTAAATCCACCATTTGTTTCAGTTTTGCGACTTGTATTTCCATCCACAATAAAAAGAAATATGCATATACATGTATATAGACAAACGACGCGCTTCACTGTATTCCCGATTAACAGACTTGAGTGCTTTGACTAAATGACTAGATATTGGAGAAAATGGGTACATTTCTTCCGGCTGACACCTCCAGTATATGAAACTAATGTGCATAAAATTGGCTCTAAGTTTGCATAAACAAGCTGCGTCGCGTGTGTGAATCCAACGTGTTGCACGTGCTGTTACCGATTAATAGCCACACGCTTTATTAAGCTACATCGGTCCTCCCACCGCGCCAAGGCCTAATTAATTGGACTCTAAGAAAAGAAATCAGCGCGAAATCATAATCTGTTAGTTTTATTAAAAGGGTATCACATGCAGCAACAGAAGGGCTATCATTTGGGACTCATTTGCTAGGAAGAATGTGTGTGTGAAAATTAAACATATTACTCCTCTACAATCAGAATTCCCACGCCATGTAAAATTTCGAAAGTATTGCAATCTGAACAAAACGTCAACCAAGTTCGGACAAATACACGAATAAGCGAATAACCTTTTTCAGTACGGTTTTGATAAATACGATACAAACAGTTGATATTTCCTCAAGCTTAGACAAGAGGAGTAAATTAATGTGTAAATTAATTATTTGTCTTTAAAAAGAATTTTGAAGAAAAATGAGAATATTTCCTGCACAACCAAAACCTGCTTTCTGTGTGCTTACAATTTTCCATTAGATTATTGGGAAATCACAACCTCGTCTCTCGTTATCTTATTTACGAGAAAGATGATCTGACATGCGCCATATGGTTCGTATAGCGGTTATTCGTAGTTAATGGAAAAAAGTCTTATCGTTTCGCTTAATACAAAGCGTACGTTAGCCGCGTGACTTAAAAGGGAAAAAATCAAACTGTTATTTCAAACTCAAGCAAATACGAATGCTGAGAAATGTTTACTTTATAATAAGAGAGTAACACGTGAGCTATTTTATGTAATATTACTTTAGATGTAATATCTAGTCACATACGTGAAACCCGGTAACATTATGCATTTAAAAATGATAATTAAAAATAAAATGTGGTGGTTATTCACTATATCAAAATTTGCATGACTCGTTGTTTGTGGGAATTAACAACCATTGGCATTACATACTTATTTGATAGGAAGCCTCTAATTATAGCATGATAATGTTCCTTTATCATATTTGAAGACTATAAAAGTAATATCATTTAATAACACAATGCTGACAGTGCGGTTATTGAAAACAGACATGCAAAAGACTAAAGAAATAAAAACGTGGTCAATATCTTAACTACAATGAAAGTAATACAATTTTCTATATAGAACTGCTTATGACCTAAAAATATGAAACTAAATTAACAAATAAAAAAAAAAAACTTTCCAGTAAAAAGAATATATATATATATATATATATATATATATATATATATATATATATATATATATATATATATTCTAAAAACAGAATGATACATTAAAAAAACAATAACTTCACGACGCTGGACATTTTAATACATGGCACTTATTTCATCACCTTAATGTAAATGTTTGCAGCTCTTGAGAATTAAAAGATGTCTATAATTCAATTACTGCCATTTCAGTGTGATCGCTCTCAAACAGCGGTTAAATGTAGTTATGACTTTTGTAATATTATTAAGCCATCTTATATGCAAGTTCCGTAATTCTGAAGTCGACAATATTGCACCTTGAAATAATAATAATAATAATAATAATAATAATAATAATAATAATAAAAGGCTTTGCCCAATGCCTTACCCTAGTCTCGGTGAGGTTTAATGCAGCGGACAACTCAGCCACGTCCACACTGCTCAGGTAATGTGTGCGTCGAAACTTCTCTTCGAGGGTTTTCACCTGGTGCTGCGTAAACGGCACCCGAGGATTACGTCCCAGCTTCCTTTTCTTTACGCCATCTTTTCTTTTCAATCCTAATGGAATATAAGTGAATCTTTTAAAGTTTTAAAAACCAAACTGACATTTTTATTTTAAAAAATAATAAGCAAACAATGTAATACATGTTACGCCTTTGACGAAATTAATAATTCGGCGATTTATTTTCAGTGGGTATAACTTGCCGTTATATAAAGCATATTCGTTTATACATATGTATACCGATATGCGTGATATTTCAACTGTTAAGTTTGAGGATAATGTTCAGGGTTTTATCAATAATAACGCCCGACAACCTGCATATAATATTTTCTCTTTTATTACTACTATAACCACCAATACACTAGAAAAAGTAATAATTAATTTTAGATTTAAAAAAAAGGTCAAAATCCAGTGTTTTCGAAGTCGCTGACAAAGTAGAGTTATAAGACATGCATGCTGTACACTATTCATTGGATGTATTAAAAATATGGCAGCAAATTAAATAATATTAAAAACACGTTGTTAATTGAATATCTTACTTACTTGGCAGTTTTGGGGGTTTATACCTGGTGCACTGCAACCACGAGAAATGTGACAACTGCTCGTCACCGTCCAGAGTGAACTTATCAAGTGTTCCTGAAACATTACTTTTCTCTTCACTGTCATTATCCATTCCCCGGGAATTTTCGTGTGTTGGTTTCCAATCACTTCCCCTGCATTTTCCTTCCTTTCTACCCAGTATTTCTTCAATAGAAAATTTAGTAAGCGAGTGTCCGCTGGTGTTAGTCGGTGTACTGTGAAATAATTGTCCGAGAGTCAAAGTGTGCCCCGACTGTACCATTGGGTTCTTGTGTGTTATTAAGGGAGATGGCGACCGTGACTCTTCCAAATGTTCTCTGTTGGTAGAGGACTGCGGCCCTCCTAACGTGGATGATTCATTTTCACCACCTTCTGTCGTAGGACTAGGCACCGGAGACTCGGGATTTAGCTTTTCTGTTGCGTATGCTTTTGAAGATCTACTGTTTGCTACAGAAAAGAAGGCGGGGTGAAGACCTTGAATGCTGAAACTACTGACCGATGGAGCCACAGCCAGCCGCGGGTATTTCGCACTTGTCGTTGCCATCATGATAATTAACCTTGAAAAATCTACACCAGTCTGAAGGCCAGTGTGTTTGTCATCCCTTATATACCGTGGGTTGAAACTTTAGCTTTGTTAGGAACATCAGAGCGCGCATGCGCTAATACATGTTCACTTGTTAGGGTCTATGTGCTTGCATTTTTATGTAAAAGATTTTTATTTGATAAGTTGGATAATTTAGGCTGATAAAAAAAACACATGGAATATTTTTCATTATGTAAATCTTCGTTGAATTTCTCATTAATTGCATTTTGTTTGGGTTCCTCAAGCCATATATGTCGTTTTTTGTGTCTTTTTTTTTAACTACAGAGTTGAAAAACACGTTTAAGTCGTCAAACAATATTTCAAGGAGCTTTTATGCTGTCAGTCGTCTTTAATGTGTCAAATTACAGAGGAGCCACCATAGACGACTGATAACAAAACGGCTAACAGGGTCTATCTGCGATGAGGGTATTGTGAAAGATACAGTATTCGACCCATTTGTGACTGTTTGTCCCTGAGCTGATTGAAACTTTGAAATTAATTTGTATAAAATGTCTCAATAATTTCGGTAAAATTGGTTTCTCTGACATGATGTATGCGACACACTGAAGATGGGTGGCGTCATTTCGATTCTATGGGAAGAAGTCCCATTATTGTAGCTAATAACTTAAACGGAGACTTAACCGGCAGATTAGGATCAGCGTTTGAAATGCACTGCAGCATAGCGAAACGTCAGAAAATGACAGTCGGAGAAGTGAACAATGGAGAGACGCACAAATATGGTGGACATGTGATTTTTATTCGACCATTAATTTACAGAAATGTTGCTAATTTTTGAGGTCACGCTCTTTCTTTTATTCAAATGTCCCTTATGACGTCTAAAAATACCATAAAGCATTTTGTTTGATAACCAATTTTGTTTTGCGTAGTACTCACCTCAGATAAACTAAGGTGTTTTTTTTTTCTTTTCAACAACAAATGTTGTCAGGTTAGAGGGTTTAGTTTGGCTTGGGTCGCAACAGAAATAAGACGTGCAAAATATTCTCAACAAATGAGAGTTGAATTTGAATAACAGAATGACTGAAATAAGCGTTGGATTTGTAGATGGATCTCTATTGTAATCAAATACACCGGCGCAGCAGTGATTATGTACAATCAATACAAATACTAGGATATTACTAGCTAATGAGGCCTGGGTATGTGAGTGTGTATGTGTGTGTGTGTGTTCCCGCCCCGTTACCTAGCCTGGTTAGGTCTGTTTTATGTCATTCCCCCCGAGATCGTTATCTCCTCTTCAACTCAGCGCTGCCACCACTTCTACCTGCAATATCTTTTCCATTTTCAATCAGACCGTGTCTCACCTTTAGTGCACTTTTCGATGACAGCGCCCAGACTTAGCCACTCGGGCTGCTAATCTTGAAATTAAAAGCTCTTAGCATTCTAAACAGCGCGCTAAATGCTTGGGGAGAAACTCCGATCGAAGCGCATGTCGATTAATTCACGGGGAAATTAATTAATTTTCGAGATTTTTTTAATATCGAGATGGGTTATTAGGACTGCCTTAAAGAGCTATTTATTTGCCATTATGAGGTGCGTTGAAGGAATTAAGTCTGACGGGAACCGGATCCAAGTTACTGTACTGCTCATTTCTCTGACAGTCTGGCTGCAGCTATCACAATGGCAGCTTGTGCGTCTATCTAAAACAGTGAGAAATCTTTAGTGTCGTGGTTTGAGACGATTTTTATTTGATTTATCTGTGTTACTTCTATACTACCGATTATCTACATATGTGAAAATAATAAAAAAATAAAATAAAATAGGATCGCTCAGTTCTGACATGTACTAGGCCAAAAATAATCAGATTCTTCGAAATTTCGTTAAATCATGTAAAAAGGAATTATAGTCGGCTGAATGTGACACGATATCTTTTGCGTTTCCCTGTAATGCACCACTATTATAGTACTTATGTATATTTTGTCTTTCTCGCATGAAACGTCGTATAGTTTCAGTTATGGTACTCTCTCAGTGGAAGAAGCATTGGGTACTTGGAAATGAGAATTTATCGTGTGATCCACTTTTTTATGTTATTAATAGGCGCAAACGGAAAATCTGCCCTAGTTGAAATTTCAATCTTTGCGTTTTCTCTTCATTACTATAATTGACAGTTGTGTAGATGCGTAAGGTTTATGACAATATGAGTATGGTTTCGTGATAAAACTGAACAATTCTGTTATATGTCAATATATAGCCAGAGTGAATCAAACAATAGCTTATAGCACAATTCGAGCAGAAATAAAACCTCGCTTGCTGTGTTACTTAAGTTGTTAATGGGTTCCCGAAGGTTTGCTACACCTGAGGTCCGCGTTCATAAACTTGATGAGAAAGGCAGCCACAAAACACCGCCACACAATGCGTGCTCGTCTGGCAAAGTATGATGACGTACAAATTACTGACTCAATCTGGCAGTGAGCAGCCGATCCCAGGAAGATTTCTATAACGGTGATAAATATTGGTTAGGAATTTTATTAGACATTACGTTGCCGGATTACATATCGCCAGGTCAAAATAATTACGGCTATGGGTATATTTCCTTTAATAATGGCATCGGTTGTTGCTTTTAACAAGATTAAAAACTCGCAAATAGACTGGCAAATTGCAATAAGAAAATCGTAGTTCAATGATAAAATAGCCAACGTGTGTATCTAGCACGCGCGCTAGGCAAAGCCTCGATAATCACTCACCTGGATTAATTTCACTTTAATGAACCAAAACCTCATTATATTAGTGGTAAATCAGCAAAAACTTGACATCATAGTTCTTTTAGTGGTGTTTTTAGTGATATTACACCCGCGCGATATTTTTTTACCTTTTTCACCAAGGTAAATTTTATTGGTGTAATGATCTAGTTTTTTTTTTTTTTTTTTTACGAATCGTGTGAACCAGATGATACGGAGAAACAGGCATTTACCAAATCACTACCACCATCGTGGGTAATGTCAAGGGGCTAGTTGGGAACAAGACAAGCCGCCAGCTGCGCCGGTCTAATAGAATTGTAATTAAAGAAAGGCGCTCCTGCTCATTGCACATTCATTATCTTCGTTATTCTATTTTCCTAACTGCCTAAATACTCATTCAGCCAACACCTTTTCAGTAATATCACTCTCTCGTTTAATTAGACCACCTCTTGTTTGTTCTAATTAACTTGCATAACCTCCTTATTTCTCGTTCTTTAACAGGTGAGTGCTAGCTAGTTAGCAATTGTTCCGCTTATCAACTTTCCTTGTTTATGTCAATACTCCTCCAGCGTTAATCAGCGTGTTACCGTTATGTAAATGTACGCCACGCTAACATCAGCGCTGTCAATGCGGAGCCGTCACATTCACAAACCAAGGGTGAACGGATATGGTGAAAAAAATGGACTCTTATTAGAAGCATGCGTTTCACTTTTGATTATACTCTAACTCTTTCAAGGGTTTGCAGATTTTGCTTTAGGGATAATATGCCATCTAAAATGGAACCGACATGCGTTCACACCTACGTTTACAAATCAGAAGGGAAAGCTCAGGCGAAAAATATCATGAATATGGCCTTGGAATAATGACCAGTTTTAAGATATTTTTGGGTTATTTTTCAAAATTTTCCACAGACGACAAAGAATGATATGAAACAAGCGGGTTTTCATGGCTGCAACTAATTGGCACATATAATACAGTGGCCTGATATGCAAAAGATGAAGTGTTATCAGTGAGCGACTATTGTTATTTTTACGACTTGACTAATATAATTTCTCTAAATAGCCAAAATGATGAAAGTGCTTTTTAAATTAGTCTGCTAAATCCATTGTGAACAGTATGGTATTTGAGACTTCATTAATAAAAGTACAATATGCAAGACGTTTATTTATAGCTTGTATGTAGTTTTTTTATTCATATTAGGATAATGAACATTTCTCTCAATTCTAGACTTTTTTCAAAAATGCATCTAAATGTCTGCCTGCGGCGTAACACGAATAAAACATGGTTTCTCCCTTTGTCCCTTAAATCAGATATTGGTTAGGATGGATTTCAGGTGTTTACGTCTCTTTAATTTGCAAATTGAAAAGACGATGCCCTTCACAAATGTTCGACGGAAAGAAAAGAAAAACAGTGATTTCGTGCTCTATTAAATTATATGCCTCTTTCCCTTCCTGAGCACAACCCGATCTTCCGCTGAACAGAAAATACGAGAACATTAAAAAGGGAACTTAACAATGCATCTAATTAAGCAAAACGAATGTATTAGCGCACCAAGAGGGATTCGAATTACAGACACGAACATGAAAACGCACGACTTCTTGCAGAATGCAGTCCTCTGTTGGGAGAGTTTGCGATTGGCGTTGTCATCGGACGCAGCCGTAGGAGGTAGAATAAGGGTCCGAGGCCATACAGTTTGACAATACTTTTAAATGAAGACATCCATGCTGCATGTGCACGATGTCACAGACAAAATGACGATCGGCAAATATTCTTAAAATCTTTCCTCAATCAAGTGAATAATAAAACTCATTTGCGACTGAGGTAATAAGGAGCATTAAGGGCATAAAATGCATTTATCGACTGCTTCTTGTCTTTTTTTACTGCCTCTGATCTACTGCTGTCCTTTTCGCTCTTGACATTAATTGAACATGCCATTATATTCTTTGACAAGGTTTGCAGGCAACCCTTTAATCTTTATAACAGCAATTTTGTGCACTCTTGTTATCCTACATATTTTGTTACTTTGCTTCTTTCTATTGTTATTCTTCTTCCCTTAATTGTGGGACAACGGGTGCTTTAAATTAATAAAACTAATGGAGAACATAGCTGGTGAGCTTAAAATGAAATACAGGCACTGAACTTTCGCGAAGCCATTACTGATTTGTCGTCATAAAAACGTGCTCTCTTTAATTAAAATATCCTCGTTGTTTTCCCAATCACGATAATGCCGAATAACTGTCTTTAGAATAGTGTGGAATAAATAGTATTTTCTGATTAATATAGTTACTTGTTGGAAAACCTGAAAATGAAGTAATATTTTACACAAGAGGTTCTGGATAATCCGACCGCAGCGGAATTAAACGCTTCATTTCACCCAGAGAAACGCAAGTATTGACAAAAAAAGTTAAATTAGACGGAGATGCGCGTCAGGTCTGTTGCAATCACGTCATTGGGACGGTGTGATATGATTACTTTCCATGAGTATCTGTTCATTTCACACTGGTTTCAATAATGACAAAATATAATTGCTATATAAACTGCTTTTATATGACAGGCATTGATTAAGCAATAGTTGGTATTGGCCTGTGAATTTTCCAGCGATTTTCAGGCGCTCCACTAAAATGTAAATGTCACTGGCCGCGAGAGCAGGTAATTTGTGTTCCTAATTTTGACACGACTTCAATCCCAGCTGGTGACTTATCTTTAAATATAGTGCCCAGTTTGGACAATGAAAGTGAACATTAAAACATTTCTACCACCTAATCTTATTCCAAGTGATAATTTGAAGGTCTTGAAGGTCCAACACGTTTCATTTCCTGCACTTGTAGTGTACCGTGATCACTAGCTTTAATATTCCTATTAAACTCAAATTATGATATTAGGTACATTTTACTATATACATATCACGGCTGCCGACGGGCTATGTGGATAATCTGTAGAGAATAATGGTAGTTTGAAAAGGAGAGGTGCACCAGAGTATTCACAATAAAGTCATCATACCGCCCAGCTAATTGAAAACGTAAACACTAGCCAGCATTGCACAGAACGCCGAGGAGCCGAAGTTGTCTCCTTGGCTTTTATCCTTGCCTCGTCGGGCGTATGAAAGGAAGAAGCATGGAGACATTATCAGAGCTCGGAATCAACGAGGGAAGAATAGGATAGCTTTTAAGCGATGTCGTAGCATAATTTGGTAATGACGCTTATCGTCAGGTGGGTGGATCGGTTTTCGGCTGCTAGTTAACGCGGACATCAAAGGTGACAGTTCCCCACGTCGATGTGCAGGCGCCACACAGTAATAACCAAACGCGGGCGCTTCTTACTGTCACCCTTCTAGGGGACACGGTGCGTAGAGGACCGTCTGGCTACTTAAAAATTTCAACAAAAGTTAACATCAAGATTATCCGAGGTTACATATGCAAACTTTTAGCGATCGTCTAGTCTTTAGCGAGTCTTATTCTTTTTAAGAACCCTCTTCCTTATCATACTATTATAGCCGACCGCACGGTTATTGAGTTTCCATATTATCAATCTGGTGGCCTGGTCTCCATTACCATGAAATATCAGATAATTTTCATCTAGTGATTTAACATATGGTCGTGCCATGAATAAGTTTAAAAGATACCATTATGCTGTGACAAACGCAGCGCCTCTGAAACCACATGTGGAAGACCTAACCGCAGAAAGAGCTTGACGGATACTCTAATGAAAAAACGAAAAAAAAAAAGAAAAAAAAATGAAAATCAGACGCAGACAGCAATAAGAGAAGGTTCCTGCTTGGCATAAAGATTTTATTAAAAAAAAGGAAGAGGGAAAATGAGATAAAAAGTACATAAAATGAAATCAATCAAAAAGAATTAAGGGGATGCCTAGGAAAAAAAATCATTTCAGTGAAAAATAAACATCTATTTATATTACTTGAATGGATATGTTAACGAAATTTTGTGATTGAAACAATTCACCAACGTGCTTCACACGAAATTAAACAAGACATTAAGAAAGAAGAGCAAGCATGTGATCAAAAATAAATGATAGAAAGTTCTTTGAAATCACACCCTAATAATAAATTGATCCACCAATCTGGGTCTAACGCTTTAAATAATCTGTTTCGTTAACTAAAAAAAAAAAAAAAAAAAAAAAAACATCATATCTGACGTCACAAAACTGATACTCATAGCAACTTATACTAATCACAATTTATGAGCATCCTAAAAATAACCAATAGTTTCCCATCAATAAACGAACGATATTAGCATCTAATTACAATCTACTGGAATCTAATAATAAACGAAAAATTAAAATGGATCACAAAATATTCAAAATTCAATATAAATGTTCAAACGGTACTATATACAGCTGGTGCATACGGCAGTTTAGCATCAAGCGGCCCTGCGTTCAGTTTTTCTCGTTTTTACTGGGCCAAGATGGTGCAAGCCAGGATACCGTTGAACCTGCTGTGCAGACGCATTTAAATTATATCAAACTTAAGTACATCCATCCACACGGTCCTCGTTGATAACTCGTATTACCATATGCTTGTATAATAAAGATATGTATTTCTTATAGCTGTAAATAAGTTATTACTGTATATTAGTTTTTTATTTATATAAATAGTATATTTAATTTACGGATAATGTACTTTTGCTGGAGATGCTTTTTGGCAATCGATTGGTTGATCTTGGTAACCTTAGCCCTTTACCAGTATCATAGCCATAAAATTTGCCAAAGGGGCAAATTTGAAAAGAATGACACACATTCACAACCAACTGAAGCTGCTCAACCCTGTCATCTCCACCCTTGGTAACGGCCACGACATTTGGTTTTGTATATTGCACTGTACAACAAGGAGAGTCCGGATAACTGTGCTGTCGGCGATGCAGGAAAGGAAGTTTGTCTCAGTGGTGCTGGGTATTAAAGCTGTCTGTGTTGCTGGTACGTATGACGGCCAGGCAATGGTGCTGGATCAAAGTGCTGTGTTTGTGGTGCTGCGTTTGATGGTCTTGCAAGCGGTGCTGTGTTTGGGCGACGTGCACCGTTTGAAGTCTCTGAGAGTGGGAGTGAACATAAAGGTTGTTTCAGAGGTATCAGGTTAACCAAGCGTGTCAGAGACGCTGGGTATGATGATTGAGAATATGGTGCTGTATATGAAGGCCTCACCCGCGGTGTTGTGTACATAGGCCCCACCTGTGGTCCTGTGTACATAGGCCCCACCTGTGGTGCTGTGTATGTAGGTCCCACATGTGGTGCTGTGTAAGGAGGCCCTAGTTGTGGTGCTGTGTAAGAAGACCCCAAAAGTGGTGCCGTGTCTGAAGGCTGAGGAAGGGGTGCTGTGTAGGAAGGTGGTGCTTTGTATGGAGGCTTTGAAAGTGGTGCCATGTCTGAAAGCTGAGGAAGGGGTGCTGTGTATGAAGGTGGTGCTTTGTATGAAGCCTGTGGAAGTGGTGCCATGTCTGAAGGCTGAGGAAGGGGTGCTGTGTACAAAGGAGGTGCTTTGTATGAAGGCTGAGGAAGGGGTGCTGTGTATGAAGGTGGTGCTTTGTATGAAGCCTGTGGAAGTGGTGCTGTGTATGTAGGACCAAATTGTGGTGCTGTGTACCTAGGTCCAACCTGTGGTGGTGTGTCAAAAGGCTGTGGAAGTGTTGGAATGTTTGAAGGCCCTGCCAGTGGTCCTGTACATGAAAGCTTTGCGACAGGTATTTCACTTGAAGAATGTGTCAGAGATGCTGTGTGGGAAGGCTGTGTGAAAACATTTTCACAGCATCCACTTGCAGGGGTTGACCCGATTGGCTGATCTTCATGTCCTTCAGTTTCAGGTTTAATTTCAGATGCAAACAGTTCAGCAGGAAAGTTGACTCCTTTGACCTTTGATGTTGAAGGAGAAGCATCTATTTTTGAATCTCCTAAGGCCAGAGCTGTGAATTCACAGTAACCACTATCCCAGTCCTCAAGTGCCTCAACATGCTGGCAATTGTCATCACCTTTAATGTGATACTTCTCTTCACAACTGGCCGGGCTGCTGGGCAGTGAACTGACCGGGTCACATGATGGTGAGTTTTCAGGGCATGCAGAACATACCTTGTATGTCTCACTACTGCTAACCTGGTCTTTTTTCTCAATATAGCCCTTCGTCTTTCGGTGGTCAGGAACTTTACACTTCTCCCTAGTATTGTTCATTTTCTCTATAAACTGCTCACAATATGCGAGGAAAATTTCCATGTAGACTGCCTTGGCATTCCTGGGCTGATCAATTTTGTTAGAACATCCTTCACTTTCTGCCAATTCAATTTCTTTTTCCTTCTCACCCTGAGCTACAGTCTTAACATATATAACATCATTTTCTGAAAGGTCAACCAATTCAAACTCCTCATCAACAACATTTGCCTTCTTGACACATCCCTCGTCATATAAAATGTCAACTTCTTCATATTCCTCCTCAAAACTCTCCTCAGCTGTATAAATTAGATGATGTTGCCCAACTGATCCTTGACTGGGAGAGCAAGCTGTTATGTTCAGATTCTTAGAATGAAAAGAGGGGATATGCAGTTTATCCAAATCAAGATACTCTGATTCTGAAGCATGGGAGGAAGTTTCATCATCAAGTTCAATAGGACTTTCAGTTGGTTCCTGGAAAGAAAAAGAAAAAAAATTTTTCCTTGACTGAGAATAGTATGTCTTTGAATTTCTTATACATAAACAAGAATTGGTATTTTAGTCAAACTTGTTATCACGCTATTTTCTTTAGTTTTTTTTCAAATTGCTTTGAAGCAATCGATGAAACAAACAATCGAAAAAAAAAATGTACAATATGAGAAATGCTTCACTGCATTAGAAAATGTTTAAAATATGGGTCTGGTAGCCCAAGTCAATTAAAGATCAATGGTATTTACAAATTTCTGTTATACTTCTATAACAAACTCTTCAATCTTTCTCTAAACATAGTTTACTGCCTATTATGATAATAGCTAGGTGAGTGCAGTATGTGTGCATCTGTATTCACCTACACCTGTCCATGTTTCAGGAAATGGAAAGGAATACATTTCTTGGTACTGTTATGATGGGGAAGCAACGATGCTGATTTGTTTCAAATTAACATTGACAACTCGCTGTCCAAAACAATAGTCAAGTTTTTCAAAGGATCTGGCCTTATGGACACTGTTTCATTCAATGGAAAACTCCACTTGAGCTGACACCTGCTAGGGTTACTTGTAAGCCAGAAGTGAAGGTCAAAATCTGGTATGATCAGAATATTCTTTTATGTTTTTGATTGTATTATACAATCACCTGTGCAACTTTGAAAATGGGCAAGATTAGATTATTATATTTAAAAAAAATCAATATTTTGGATACTTTTGATCTTGCTTTATAAATGATTGTGTATTGTAACCCTTTCATCAAAGCTGAAAGATGGACTTTTAATACACTTATCTGTATATCAAACTAGAGTGGCATAGCATTGCTACAGGTGCTTACAGTGTGGTTATGCTTTTTTTCGCGTTGCCTAAATACCTTAAACTCGGGGTGGATGTCATACACAGGATTTAGTTACAACTACTGTTATTCAGTGCAGAGCTATTCTATTTTAACCAAGACGGGTTTTCAGCTTTAACCAGATGGATTTTGTGATATATTTTTAGTCTCTATAAAAAAAAAGAAGCTTAATTACTTAATTTGAGAATTTATGATGAATCTAGTGATTTGAACTCAGTTCCCAATAATGAAATACTTGATTTATTTATTTTATTATTATTTTTTTTTTTTTTTTTGGGGGGGGGGGGCATTTAAGGTAATCAAATGCAAATATAAATTTTTTTTTATAGCCAAAACATTCTTGAATTAATCCAGTCATAAGGTTGTGACCTCCATTTTCCAGGGTTTTATCCCACTGATTAAGTTATAACTAATATTCAACATAAAAAAAATTTGGCCCAACTGCAATAAACCAATAACTTACCAGTCATATCTATATGTAATCCTCAATACAGTCCAGTTCTCATTTTTTGATAACTCATTTCCTAATAAAAACTTTTTGGCTTTATATGTAGAAATTGAAATTAATAAATTAAAAAAGGTCAACTTAAAAGTAAATACTTAGACCTAAAATTTGGCTTACATTGACCCTTTATATAAAAAGCAGCATGATAACAATCCACACGAATAAAACTATTTGCTTGAAACCCCTTTTGTTAAAAATGGGCCGAATATTCTCTTTTACGTACACTACTACTACTGTTGCTGCTGCTGCTGCTGCTGCTGCTGCTGCTGCTACTACTACTACTACTACTACTACTGCCAGTGTTAAATCATGTGTAGTAGTGTAAGTAAAAGAACGATTTACAATGTGGAAAAATTACGCAATGGTGGTCATTCATTCTTTATTTGACAATAAAGGTTATGTACAAAAAAAAAATACCAAATATGTGATGAATGGAAAATGACCTTAACAGTAAATTATCATTACATATGGCACTTTCATGTTAATAAACAAGACTTGCCCATTAGTGGGAGATCTATTTATTACTTATATTGAGAGATTCTGCAGTAGAGAGTACAATTTTGAATTTTTGTCAGTAACTTGAATGTTTTCATTCCTCACAAGAAATGAAAGCCATGTCAAAAATTGTACACAACTGACCAAAATGATAAGTTCTGCCAAAAATTGAACACATTTGACCAAAGAAAAAAGTCCCCCCACCCACCCACCATGAAAAGCAAATATTTCATACACATCATCACTGTTAATGTTATCAAAACAATTACTTAATTACTATTATAATTCGCATATTACAATTATCTACCAATTCATTAAAAATTATTATATAAAGAATTAGAATTATAATAAACAATTCACTTAAAGTACAGATTCTGGTCTTCAATAAAGCTTATATGAAAAAAAAAACATGAAAGGGACAAAATATCCATGTTTCTGCAATTACATACACCCATGCTTTCACATCACATTTACATATATTAATAATTACTGCTGTACAAACCGTACACATTAAAGCAAGTGGCTGAAAGAAGCAAAAATTCTGAATATATATATATAAATAATATATATATATATATATATATATATATATATATATATATACACACACACACCAGACATTTACATATTCAAAGTACCAGACTGCCAATGACCACAGTCACAGATTGTTTTCTTGATCTTTGAGATCATCATAACTAAGTGAACGTCTTATTCTAGTGCTCCTAGTTTGGCAGGTTTGCTGCATAGCCTGTGTGGAGTTTCTAGTGCTTACTTTCCCCTCACTGTGCACTATGTGCCTGTGTGCTGTATGTTTGGGAGTCATGTCAATGTCCAACTGCTTATTTAGCTTCATCAGTGAGGCTGCTTTACTAGCAGATTCTCCCTCGACCTTGCATTGCATTTCTTTAACTTGGTCCCCATCACTCCTGCCAGTGCCCAATTGCAGCTCATTACAAAGAGTATGTTTTGGTTCGCTTGTCGGCTTCTTCTCTGATGATAGACTGAAAAGAGTATTTTCAGTATCTCTCATTTTGTAAACTTCTTTGTCTGGTTTCTTTGCACATGCTTTTTGTGGTTTACTCTGAGCTTTTGTTTCAGTCTTGCTACCGTTTTGACCATACTTATTTGTAAAGTTCCAAACTTGTAGAAACCCCTGTTTCAGATTCATATCAATAGTAAGGTTTTTAAGCTCCTGTGTTTTAAAAAGAGGAACATCGCTAAATTCTACTTCTTCTTTTGTCCTTGTTTTCATCATGTTTCGGAGCCCTGTATAACCATGATCCTGGTCTGGTTTTGCTGGAGGACTTTTTTGCTCCAGCGCAGATTTTGGGCCAACTTCTTCGTCTTTGATATTTTGTTCCTGGAGTGTCTTCGTAGGCACTATCTGAATCACATTTCCTTCTCCTGACATGTATTCGAGGGACACAGTAGCCTTCTTTGCAGATTTGATCAGTTTCTGGCGATGAGCTTTCTCCTTCATCAAAGACTTCTCAGCAGACTTATAGGTACTTGGGTTACTATACTTACTGGTCATATCTATGTTAAGATATTTCAGCTCCCTCTCCAGTTGGGAACTACCTTTCTTCAAATATGTTTCAGAACTTGTCTTCAACTCATTTTTCCTGGGAGTCTTTTCCATGCTACAATTAGCAGCACCATCTTGACTTTCAAGTTTCAAATCCTCTGCTGTCTCAGCATCAAGTTCCGTAGCAAGGTCTATGGCAGGCGAGATGTCTGGGCAAGGTAGACTATTACTGTTACTGCTACTGGACTCTATACCACTATCTGAACTGCTTCTGGTGAGACTGGAATATGGCCGACTGCAATCAGGCACCGAGTAACCCCCGCTAATTCCACATACCGGGTGCCTGTATTTGGGGGTCATGTCGATGACCAAACCCTTTAACTCTTTTACCACTCTGGCGTTCAACTCAACAGGTTCTGAAGTACACAAAGATGGCATGGAAGATGAAGATGAAGAGCTAGCACGACTAACACTCACCTCTGTGAAAGATGGCACAGAGAGGCCTTTTGGTAGCTGGGTACTAGTAGGATCCCCTCCACCCGAGGTGCCTTTTTCTTCCTTTTTCATATCTTCCAAGGTCAGTCTTTTTATGCTTGATCTGCCTGTAATCTTTGGAGGAAGGTCTTCCACATCTATGTTCAAGTCTCTACTCTTGTCTTCAGCACACTGTGCTTTACTGCTAGTGCATGTGCTTTTGCTGGCATTGACTACAGAATCAGTCTTCTCTGCAGGACTCTTAGTCATTGCAGACTCACTATCATTCTTAGCAGGGCTGTGACCTTTCTTCTTTTGAGACTTAAACGAGTCACTTGTTGCCCCTATTGCCATGCTGGAATAGTCAAATTTTGGTGTCATAGAAATGGCCAATTTTCTCAGCTCATTGCCTAATGTCTTCGGGGCTTCCTGTGCAATTATTGCAGGTCTTACTGAACTCAAATTGTGCTTTGGAGTCATATCAATTTCTAGTCCTTTGAGCAGACGTGCAGTCTTTCCAGTTACCACCAAGGGGATTTGTGTCAAAGAGCATGACCTTCTTTGCCGTCTCAAAATAGCAGAATCTCCACTTTTGCCCGCAGAAGTATCCTTGTTCAAATCTTCATCTAGATCTTTCTTTAATGTGGACCGTCTCTTTTTGTATTTGCGTTTACCTTGTTTACTGGTGGACTTGGACAAATCTGAAGAATTTGTTGCAGAGTTTGAAACATTGGTGAAAGAAAGATGCTTTCTTTTTTTCTGATTAGGACTTTGATGATCTTCCTCTGAGCTGTCTGATGAATATTTTCTTTTTTTATCAGCACTACTTTCTCCCTGGCCGGCAGCTTCAAGTTTTTCCTTGTTAAACTTCTCCATCAACCAGTTTGTATCATTCTTCTTGTGAAGAGGAGAAAACTTTGGACTTCTGGCTTGGCCTAAGATGACAAAGAAAGATGTGAAGAGTATTACTGAACAACATATTAAAAGCAGCTACATACACTTAAAAAAATATTACTGTCCAAATCTCTGATAAAGAAAAATCTATAGCATATAAAGGCATACAATGTAAGTTACACCCTTTTTATATTCAAATCCACATTATATTTCATGTAGTGGAGAAAAAAAGAAAAACCCCTTCTTCACGAAGGGACATTCTATGCAAAAATGTAAAGAAATAGTCACTTTTAACAGACATGGTTAAACCTGCAGGCAACCTGCCCAATATCAATCAATGGTGAAATAGGTTCAGCACTTATGATAAAATCTCTGCATTGGTCATCCCAAATGGACCAGCAATTATTTCTCACATATCACTCTGACATTTTTGAAAATCAGTATGCTTTTTGAAAATCTTAGTATAATAGTTGCTCGGATAAATTTTTGGTGAAGGAAAACAGTTAAATAGAATTGTCACCCCCTGAATCAGAGTAATCAAAGTTATAATGCCTGGTCTACTTATCATGTGACTAATGAGTATAAAACCGCTGTACCATGGAATTGTGAAATTTGATGTTAATAGAATGATACCAAGAGCATATCATTCCACAATCATTTATCTCCCCCAAAGGATTGGTTCAGTAGGGGTGACACTTCTACTGTCCAGTGTGTGTATATATAAATTGTGTATTACCCACCTTTCTTTGACCTCCTCGCTATATCAAAGCAATCATCACATGTCCATGACGGGGCCGATCCCTTAAGACTGGAGCACTGCATGTGAGTGCCTTGACATCCACAGTACACACAGAGGATAATCTCCCATTTACTACAATACAATATACAGCTTTTTTAGAAAAGCCTTTTTAACAAAAAAAAAAAAAAAAAAAAAAAAAAAAAAAATGTAAGTGGGTCAGTATAAGGTCCTCTGTAGTCAGAATCCTTCAGTAATTATTGACCCACTGTAAAAATTAACTGCTTAACTATGTCAATAGTTTAGATCTACTCTCATCATCAGCTTTTCAATTGAACAACACTCCTATAATTTTGTAAATTTATTTTTAACTAGGCATCAAAGACAGAATATATACCAAGTCCATGATACAAGGATGACAAATATATTAATTGGGCAGGGATAACCTGATTAGTCCAGTGCATAAAAATGTTTGAACACCAAAATTCAAATAATTCATATAAAATGTATCTTATTGTTTTCATGTGCTATATTTCCTACACAATTTACTTCTCATAATCATTATAGCTATAAAATCTTTCAGTCTTCTATTTTCATTATTCTCTTACAATATAACCCAAGTTGAGTAAATACCCAAGTACCAAATACTCAAGATCTCCATCTATATACTTTCCCTTTTGGAACACTGGCACCTGTCCATGTCAAACCCCCCACCCACCCCCCACCCCCAATCCTCCCCCAGAGCTCATACCTGCCGTCCTTGTTGTATTCTCTCCCCTTGGGGCACTGGCACTTGATCTTGTCACACCTGCAGTGTCTCTCTAGTAATTCCTGGTATGCATCAGGTTCCAGCTCCCACTCTGCATCTCTACACATAATGCATACGGTTCATCAGGTTAAGTTTCCACACAATCAGTCATTTATGCTAAAATTTGCACCAAGGTGAAGCCTTAATGCTCTGTTCTACCCATTATACGTGCAGTAAGAAGAGGTAGAGGCTAAAATCTGCATGTTTATAAAAAGAGCCAAACATATTGGACACAGTCCATATTAAACTAGAATGATTTTTTTACTATCCCACTATACAAGATCATTTCAAATAACAAAACAAAAAACAAAATTTAATTAATAAATAAATTAAAAAAAAAAAAAAAAACTCACTGGTCAGGAATGTATATGCCAAACTCCAGCATTTCATGTTGGAAGTAATCTTTATTGTTGCACAAAGGACACTTGAAAAAATAAACTCCAGAGCATGTAGCTTGTCTCTGAAATAAAATGGACATGGAATATTATGGCAGTGAACTGAGAAAATTGTTTCCTTTTTTCTTCAAGCCTTCAGGAACTAATTTTCTACAAAAAGAAGTTTGCTACATATGACCTGTCGATACATTTTTTAAAACTGACAATATATTTAGGTTTCCCTTTGGCAACTGTTAATATTTTCCTCATGCAAAATATATTTTCTATTGCATTTGGTATAAAATTCTAGAGTAAGTAAGTGAGCCTACTTATGGACACCTTACCTGGATACAAGAGCGGTGAAACCAAGCATTCTTACAGCAGGGTGCCCTGAGTGTTTCGTTGGAAGCTCTGGCCTCCACGGCACACATACATATTGCACACACAGCCTTGGCTGTGCCGTGGAAGGCTAACCTGTCACTGGTAGGGACAGTCTGCCTGGGCCTGTGCTCTTCACAGTAGGAACTGGAATGAAACAATTTTCAAATCCTTAATCTCTTCTTTAAATCTTACAAACTATTTTTTTCCCCTCTTACTGAGATTCTATTGAGATCAAGAAGTTCTAAAGAAGGAACAACGTATCTCTCTCTTACCAATGATTATGTTATGATGTCAAGGATCAATTCCTAAAATGATTCTAAAAAACACGCCACAGTGAGCAGAGACGAGACTGCCATTTAGTTAAAAAGAAAATATGATGTGGTGTCCAGTTACTGAGTGGACACCAAAATTCTTTAAAAATCATTCAGCAAAACCAAAAAGACATTTTGATCTTTAGGCCTCTCTCTTCTTATTTGTACTAACAACATCAGGCAAAGTTAGCAGGCAGCCACTTCTCTTGACATTTCCAACACAGTGGCAGAGCCAGGACTTTGTCTCCATTTGCTTAATAACAATTTTCTTTCTTTCTTTCTTTTTTTTCTTTTTTTTTTTTTT